GGTGTCTGGATCTGGTGCTGGAAGATGAGGTTTAGGTGTTTACAGACCCCTAAAAAGGGTTTAGGGGTTATGGTGGAGTGACAGTTTAATGGTTGGACTCGATGATCTTAGAAGTGTCTTCGAGCCTTGATGGTTCTATAATGATTCCATGGAGGGTCTCTCTGGATGTGCTGTGCCTGCCTCTTGGCAAGCTGTGCAGTTCGTGCAGGGCATCCCCAAAATGAGGTGTGAAGTTCGGCCTGGAAACATCACAGCGTGGTCACAAATGCCTTGAATTTAATCGTGGAAAGTGCTGTCTAACAGGACAACTGGCCTGTTTATTTGCTGTATTATTAGCTGCTCTTGTAGGTACTGCAAGGATGGGTAAAGATACAGGAAAAGGGAGAGTGGGCAAGGCTTCTGCTGAGTGCTTTCCCATGCTAAGAAAGTATTGTATTCTTCCTTCAGATACCTTCTTAGCAAAAGGCTCTGCTACTCTGGAAAAATTGAAGGACCTCTGCAACGAAGGGAAAGCACATCCCTCCACACTTTTTCAGCTGTATACCCAGGTAGTATATTTAAAACACCAAACTCCCCTTCAAGAAAATCTTGTGTAGGGTGTGGGAGAGGGTTTGGTGTTAAAGAAAGGGGTCTGTGTTACTTGGTGTGTATAGTGAACATCCGTGAGGCATGGGGCTGCTTTTGACTTGGATAACAAGTCAATAATAATTCTGCTGGTACTTCAGGGACAGAAAGGGGTTTGACTTTATATTTGCTGTGAGCAATCTTTCAGTATTTCTAACTTGCACCTTTCGTAAACTAAAAGTTAAAAAATACCTTCAAATTGTAATGTCTTAAAAACTAAGCAGTTTTTTGTGCTACCACACACCACCGTTCGATTATTTGCAGGGAGGCACTTTTACTTAATGTATCTTCCTCTTTTCATAGGCTGTCCTGGACATTACATACTTTGAGGAAAACCAGCTTGTGGATGCAGATTTTCCAGAAGAATCTTCCTTGCAAAAACTGAAAGAACTTATTTGTATTCTTTCAGAACCAGAAGACCTAGTGAGGGAATGCAACATGAAGGAAGAAGTGAGTACTAACATTCAGCCACAGGATTAATTACTAAATTATTTTAAAACAAAAAAAAAAATCTGAAACAGGACAGGGCAGAATTTAAGGTGTTTTGAAACATTTTCAAGTCTTATTTCCAGTTAAGCAGTGAAATACTGAAAATACTGTCTCAAATAACTTGTTGTGTGCTCAGAATTTCTCGTGCTAACATTTCATGATTCCACAGGCAGTTTATGATGTTTCCATCTGGCAGTTTAAAGGATTAGGTTAGGCTTGTGTCCCTGAGTGTTGCTATTAAGTACAACCTCTAAAGCAGGAGTGTTACACGCGCTGTTCACACGTGTGACTGTGTATGTGAGCAGCTCAGATGGCTCATTGTGATGTTAGCCCAGTTTGTTGGATTTCGTTTCAGCCCCTCGACATCCTTGGTGCAGAGTTGTTAGAATGCCTTTACTGGAGGAAAGGAGCTCTGCTTTACATGTATTGTCATACAGCAAAAGAAAGGAGCGAGTGGCTGCGAGAAAACACTGCCATGTTTGAAAAGGTAAAGGAGATGAAAATGTTTTCTGAACTTGTGGATGCAGCTTTAAAGTTTGGCTCATCACTTTTAAAATATGTCTGGGCTTTTTTTTTTTTTCCTTTTAAATAGGGTTTTGGGGAATTCACAGCAAGCAGCATTTCTGGCTGTTATTAATTTAACCAGAACTTACATTTTCCTCATTTTTCTTATTGTACTCAGTGTCTTAATGATGGAGTTCACTACTTGATGAAGATGCTTAGCTTTAGATGCCCTCTTCAGCTAAATGAAGATGTCTCACTTCAAGATAAAGACACAGCTAGATTACTCAGTGAAGGTAAAAAAAAACCCAAACCAACTCCCAGAACCCTACAACCCAATCCTCTTAATAACTTCTCCAGTTTATGAAATGATTTTTGCATGTTTTTTTGTTGTTTGACTTAATTTGTATTCAAAACCTGTCACTTTTTAGAACTAGTAGATAGAAAATGAGGCAGATGAGCAGGCAGCAATGCCTTTTCCCTTTCTTTTTTGACTCGTGTATTTTAGGAGGTAGCAGTGCTCATTTTCTCTGTGTTTTTCTGTGCTCCAGAGGGAGATGAACCAAGGCAATGGGTGTTTTATGCACATCATGTGTGTTTTACAGCCATTCATTTGACAATTGGCAGGTTTTGAGGCACAGATACGACTGCAGAGGGGGCTAGATGTTCACATAGTGGTCTTCCTGTTTAGTTCTAGGAGAACACAAGTACAAACACAGAATTGCAGACTTCACACAGGTAAAAAAATACATGTAAAACTGGCTAGGTTTGGCAAATTATCTCTGTCACCACTTTGTGTAGTTTTATGTGAGTTGCGTTACTATAGAGCATTTACAGAAGGATTTGAGGCAATCTGCAATATGATGCAGTTAGGTTGATGGAGCAGAGGGGATTTGTAAGCAAAACATCTGATGCTGAGGACATGATACCCACATTGTACACACTCAAAACCAGCTCTGCTCTGACTGCTGAGGGATGGAGCACCTTCTTGCTTAATTTCAGCAGAAAGTGGCATTGCTCCAATTCAGCTCCATAATGCAAAGCCAAGTTCAGTAACTGATTTGTGGGTTTATTTATCAGGATTTTTCTCTTCAGTCAGCCTGGGCACATATGTAGCTTCTAATTCAAATACTAAATCTGCTGCTGGTTAACCTGAGTTGAGATGATGCTCAAACAGTATCTTCTTTCAGGCTTAAATCATGGGAGGTACAGAAATATTCTAAAACACATAGGCATGGTTATGCCTGTGCTTAATGAATTGTAAAGAAATACTGAAATTCTCTAAGATAAAGAGGCAAACCAAATCATCAGAATAATATTTATATGGCAGTCTTCAAGATTTTAGCATTATGAAGGGGCAGAATGGGACAGAGCAATGAGCAGAGTCTTGATCTATGTTTTCTTCTGTGCATTGTCAGTCATCTCATGGTTAAAATTTGTTCTTTTGGTGTACCTCTTTTAACGGGCTTTTACTGTCTTTTGGATTTTTTCCCCCCAGTGTTACTGAAAAAAAAAAAACCAATTAAAGTTTAACAGGCTGTGTACTTGCTTAGAACAGAATTAATGAAGTACTTGATCTGACTTATTTCTGCAGGTATATTTAGTGACACTCACTTACTGGCCATGATGTACAGTGGGGAAATGTGCTACTGGGGACTGCAACACTGTGGAGAAGGGAAGCAGGAAAGCCTTGGGTCAATAGATCCTGTGCCCAACAGTGACCTGGGCAGCAGATCACAGAGCACATCGCTGGATTTCCGAGAAGCAGGGAAAAACATGTTAACAAAGTACGTGGCTGTGTGCGAGGGACTTTTGAAAGGTCAAGGATGGAACACAACAACTGCAAAGCAAATGCTGTGCTACTTCTTGAAGTCAGACAGCTAAAATTCACTTCTTTGTCTGTGCTGGAAGAAAACTTTTGTCCTAAGAGCACAATTCAGGAGCTTGTCTCTGCTTCAGTGTCAAGTGGTGGGGTTTTTTGTTATTGTTAGGGTTTTTCTAATCAAAATGTATACTTCTGTTGCATTAAATACGTGATGCTGAGAAAAGCTGGAAAAGAACTACTCACAGCCTTGTCTCTCTGAGTAGCAGGTATTTGTTTATTCAGCACTGGGCACAAGGGGGATCGCTCCACCAAACTTGTGCCACGAGGGACAAAAACTTAACAGTTTATGTACATTAAAAACTCATTATTTCCAGGAATAGGTGGTAATTATTACAATTAGTTCTTGGAAATCATTATTATAATCTCCTCCTTCGTCTCCTACCATTTGGCATTAGTCCCATGGTCTCT